GCTGATGTGGGCACCAGGGGAGATGAATGTTACATGACAGCTTGATTTGCGCAGCCTCCCGTTTGCTGAGTGCTTTCACTCATAAATTGGGTACCTGGTGACCTTGAACAGGAGCAGTTGTCATTGTACAGTCTTTTTTTCTTTGGTCAAGGGAAACATATATAACTTATTTCTATTGAACAAATGAGCAGTTTAGTACAAACGCTTGCTAAATAAACACTTGCTGAAGAAGTGATCAATCACAGAGCTTCAGAAAGGATTTAGCTCAAAGTGGCCCTCTGTCAGTTTTTTGAGTTAGTTCCACGTAGCTTGCAAGCGGTCGAAATTCAGCTTGCGTGCCAGAGATTGCTTGTCGGGCAGCACAGCTGGGCAGTCTCAATGCTCTAATATGGTAGGAAGTAAGTTCCTTCAGTTTCGAAAGCTGAACTCAGTGGGTTGTGCTAGGATGCCCAGACCAGCCCCTTCTCCAGCAGTGAGATGGGGAGCCTATTTGGGGCTGTTAGCATCCATATATGATGAGTTACTTCTCTAAAATAAGCAATATATGTCTTGGGGCTTTCAGCTGTGTAAATGTTTTGGTGTGTGCCCCCCATGGTCAGTGGAACTGCTTGCTTTAGCACACTTGTCTAACTGTTCAAGCAAGAATCCTACAAGCATGTCAAACAATGAAAACCCTTAGGGTTTAAGGTAGGTACAATTTCTTTATTTTTCATTTTTAATGAACTCTGCAATTAATATTCCTGGCTCTTTTCTGTCTCACCCACCCCCACTTCTACCAGGGATCTAACCTAGACTGTCTGTGAACCTCCTACGAGTGATTCGTGCTGCGAAAACACTCCCCCGCTCTGTCTGTTCACTTTCATTCTGCTTTGTATTGTACCCACTTGCGCATTTTTAGACTACAAGGTGCAGAAATTCTGTTAATCACTAGGCCTGTGCATGCTTTGAGCAGCACCACCAAATTAATCTGTGCCACAGTGACTGAAATCTGCCTCTTTATAAAGGGCTAGTACCTGCCATGTGCATCTAAATACAGATCCAAACAGCATTTAGTACAAATACGGTGGAATATACAAGTTATGTAGAGTTTGCATCCTTTGGGAAGGGAGAAGTTTAGGTTTCTTTAAAGTCTTGAATGAAAGAAATCTACCTTCCATGCAAACAGAAAATACATTTTGCAGGATTCTCTCATTTTATTTTGGCTGTTGAGAAAAGACGAGGCACCTTTACAGTTTCTTCTTGTGAACACAGAAGCTTCATTCCAGTTAGGCAAGAGTTTTGCCTGAGTAACTACTGTGTTGGTTAAAGGCTTTTTGAAAAATCCCTCTTTTCCCTCCCACCACTATGCTGCTTTTCTGGAGATTTTCTTGTTTATTTGCTTCTGTTTCCTCTTTTAGGTAGTTCTGACAAACCAAATGACAACGAGGATTGGACAAAACCAGTCCATATTGGTACCTGCCTTAGGTAGGTGTTTAGCTTGTGAGTTGAAAACTGAGTTAATCTTCAAACATATGACTTCCTTTCTTTTGGCACTGTCTACCAAGAAAATGGTTTGCTGAATCTGTGGTGGAACTCTTACACCCGTCTGGAACTGCCGGCATTATGGAACTTTACAGTGGTGCTTATCTGTCTCAACATTGTAATTATATTTAGCAACGGTCAAGTTTTAGTCTAAACTCAAACATCGTGTGCAGATTAGAAGGCTGGTTAGATTTTTGAAAAGGGATTACAAATATTTTTAAAAGTCATGACATTTTCAGGTTGCAGAAATTCGCAGATTGAGAGTGTTGCTGGATTTTTTTCTTTATTTTTTTAAATCAAAATTTTAATACTAAACTTGGTATTACATCTATCAATATTCCTTAAGCTGTCTGAATCACCCTTTATGGGGAGGCACTAGGTACTAAGAACTCTCAGAGTAACTAGGTTTTTAGATGTGCAGCTAGTGTGTTGCAGCCTTCCCCTGAGGATCTTGGGCTGTGGAGTTGCCTCTATTCCAGCTGCAGCTGTGTCAGCTAAGGAGGCCACTACCCTGCTGGAGGTCACTGCCGCATCCTATATGCTGGCTGAGCTGTTTATGTGATTGACTCCCAATCCGTTTCTGCCAAAAGTGGGCCAGATAAGCTTGAGCTATTTAAATAATGACTAAACCTCTGATAAATCATGTAATTTAGACTGAAATTGGCTGGTGAATGATCATACAAAAAATGTAGGGATGGACTTGGGGGCAGTAAACCTCTAGCAAGAATGTGGTGATGAACAGGTTAAAGCATAAAAGAATAATGCAGCCTAATGGTTGTACACCTCAAACCGTGCTGGCAATTTCCTAAATTCCCTGAGAATCATTCAGTGCCTTTCCAAAACAGTTTGAATTGTTTCTTTTGCCATTACACTTGAGCACGTTCCATTAATTAGTTGCAAAGGTGTTTCATATTTGCTGCATAGCTGGAGCTCTCTCCCCGTGGCTCTCTACAGTTATGATGTAGAGGGAAGTTCTATGTGGATCTCACCTACAGCCTGCCCAGAGTGAGTGGTTTTTTTACAGCCTGCTCCATTTTGCCCCGTAACGAGCAGAGTACCTCATGAAGCTCCTCTGTTGCGGTCACAGGGGAAGTAGAACAGTTCTTCTCAGGTAGAGATTTTGACAAATTAAGAAAAAGCTCAGCATTTAAATCTTATTTCAGGTTGCAACTTTGTATTTTTTTTGTGATGCACTAATAAAGGCCAAAATTATCCATCCACAGCTTCCGTTTCAGTGAAGTACGTAATGATTCCCTTGTTTGGAGGGAGGGAGAAGGGGCAGTACAAAGGCCAAGATGTTCTCAGTGTCTGCACAGGCATTGAACCATTTGGCACAGATGTAAGAAAAAAATGAACAAATACAGACCATCTCCTTTGAGAACAAGAAGAATGTGGAATTTGGAGCTGTGCATGCAGATAAAGACCCAGCTTGCAGTATCTGACCCTTTTTGTCATTTTTGCCTCTGATGTATTATGTTTGTCAGCCTTTCTGGCTACAGCTCAATTAAAGCTGATAGATTCTGTCTTTTTTTTAATAGCCAGCTTTGTTTGAGAGCTGTTGTGTTTATTGAGTCATAGGGAGAGTAAAGAATGTGAAGACATTGAAAGTAGGTTATAATTCAAAGATATCATGTATTATCTTCAAGATATTTTCTTTTACAAACATTTAATTTGACATAACCTCATACTGACCATAAACTGATTGTGACTCTCACCAGAATGTGTGTGTAACAACATAGTGTTGTTAAACTGAGTAGTGTGTACTCTGGCAAAAATTAAAGTTTGTACCAGTTGGTAAAATATTTAACCTAAGAGATATTCCCCTCATCTTAAACAGTGATACCTCAAGTTGAGCATTTCAGAGTGGTACAAAGCTGTTTTCATTTTGATGTGAATTTGTTCCATAGACTCAGTGCAAGTATTGAGCGGGTGGATTACAAGGTGATTTTTACAACCTACTCTAAGGGGATGATTGTTCAACAGTCTCATTGTGCAGGCTAAAGAACCTCCTACTCCTCTGTGTTTGCCTGTAGCCAAAGGAACTATTGAGGGAGGGGTCAGCAGCAAAACCCCAATTAAAATCAATCCTGTTGCCTGTCCTAAATAGTTTTTTTCCCCATTGATAAGCCTTAGAAACAGCCTTTTCTTACATTTCACAAGAACATTAATCTCTAAACTCTTATTCGGCTTCCTAGCAGAAGGGAAGTTCTTCATTATAAAAAAAAAAAAAAGCACAGATGCTGCAAGGTATTAAGTCAAGAGCTTTATGAAGGGGACAGCTTTCTTTCCCACTACTGATAGCTAAGCTGGGTGTTCCTGGACATTTCTATGGGATATATTTAGAAAGGAGGTCAAATATTAATCTACAGTCAGTTTAACTCAGAAATATCGCATTTTGCAATAGCATTTTTCTCTCCTGCTCGATACAGTTGGAAACATTCCAGTGTGAAATTTGTACCTGTTGTAAAATGTGTCTTGATCTCTTGACTCGGAACCATATCTGATAGCCTAAATCTTTAATCTCAACTTAGATATAGTGAAGCAAGGTCTGGGAAAATGCCTAGAGGGTCTAGGTCTTCATTAGAGTTGAATCATTTTTTTTCTTCTCTGCTATAATGAATACCAGAGCACATGGGGCATGTGGCGCTGGTGACATGATGGAGACTTGGTGATTCGGAAGTTACAAGGCTGTGTGCAGGAGAGGCTTGCCGCACTTAACCAAAATGACAGTTTTAAAATGCAATCCATCTTTGGACTACTTACTGTCTCCTGGGATAAACAAAGGAAAATACCCAATAAAACTGTCTATACATTGATGGAGTTTGTGGTCCGGTGTTAACTGAAAAAGTAGGACTGTTTCCCCTGAAACAGGATAACAATCCAAACTTCCTTCTCTCTTTCCACCCCACCCCACTCCACCCCACCCCTTGCTTTTGGTTGCGTTCCTTTGCATTTTGCTGTCAGAAGCAGAAGACTGCTTCAGGGGCTCTTAATACTTTAATAATCTTAGACTTTCTCCCAAAGCTTGTATCCCAAAGGGAGTGATATTTGCTCATAATTATGCCTTAGAGACAGAATATTGCAATTTTGAAGTAGGATTTAGACATACTCACTAGACTTCTTCAGTAGTAATTAGAAAACTCTTTTCTTTATGCTGCCTCTGTTTTCAGCATGTGTCTAGTACCTGTCCTTTATCAGGTGTATATAAAATCCTTCTACAAATATGGAAGTATTGTATCAAGCTTTCTATAAAACACAGTGTGGTGTTATTCCTTGTCTCAGCATATTTGATAAACTAGTGAAATCCTTGCACATATGAAAAAGATGTGATTCATTACTGCAAGAAAGGTATGTATGTTTTAATCATGGGGGTTTTTTGGAAGAGTAGTCTAATTTCATTCAGTTCAGTTCACTGATGCTGCTGCTGTTATAGGAGATAAATAAAATGACCTGTCATTTTGTGTCACCCAGGAGAAAGCTGGGGACATGCTGCTACTGTCCGTTTAATCTTTCACTGGGACAACAGTCAAAGGTAAGTGGAAAATGTAGGCCAGTAAGGTGCATAATAATACTGACAAGTATGACATTAAAAATAATTTTCAGACTGGCCAGAGTGGCCAAGCAGGGATTTGAATTTGACTTCTGGCCTTGGTCTGCCATGTCCTGGGCTACCGAGGGTCAAGAAGAGCTTTCTAGTTCAGCGTAAGGCAGCATGGGCTGAACTGTCATGCTCCTCCTTCTCACCATGGTCAGCTTGCTGCAGTGCTGTACTTGCTTTCTGACAAGGTGCCATGTATCATCAAAATACAACATCCTAATGGCAGTTTCTCAGACACCAGAATTTAGGATCTGGTGGCTAAGTAGAATTTGTTTTTTACTATCTGCATTTTGTAAGCAGGGAGTAGAGTTTCTTTGCTTCAGTCTTTTAGGTCCCAGTCAGTACAAAGCCAAAGATGCCAAAGGAGTGATTCTCAGGAGGACAGACATTAAGCTTATTGACCCCTGAGCCTCAGTGGCAGCCATCGAAGCAGGATGGGTCTGCAAAACCGGACAGCTCTGCAGATACCAAGTTACAATGACCTGCAGAGAGGGAGAGAGAGAGCTGCATGTACTCCCAGTGCAGAGCTGACCTATGGAGGATGATTTTAGAAGCCCAAAGGAATGAGGATGACCCTTCTAAAAACAGTATGAAGCTCTGTCTGTTGTTACGAGATCTTTTCTGTTTCCTGGTTCTTTTTTCCCCTCTTCACTACATTGCAAGCTCACTTTTCTTTCCTGGTCAGTTAAATTTGTCTCGTGTATAGTATCACAATGCAGCAACTTGAGATTAAGAAGCCTTGCTTCAATTCTCTAATCTGCAAACAGCAAACAAAAATGTTACTGGAGTGTTGTTGTGCATAGTTTTGCTTGTTAAACTTGAAAGAGAAATGCAGTGACACTTTCTAGTGGAGTTTTGTTTTTCTAAATTCAAAGTTGGAAGGCAATGCAGAATGATTACAGGAATGATTTAATTTGGAAGTAAATTAACATCACTGATTAGTTAACAGCCTTTATAAGAGAGAAGTTGTACGAACATAATGATAGCAGAGTGAAGAAAAGTTAATTTTATATACCAAAAGTAAACAGCTCTTTTCTTCTGCAACACAACTAGGGAGGTTGTAGATACAGGTCCCCGAAAGCAAGCCAAAGATAGACAAACATGTTTTATTTACTGTTCTAAATTTGCAGCTGATATGGAGCAGAGCCTGCAGAAGCATAGCTATTCCAACTGCCTAGCTGTAAAAAGCAAAAGTGGCTACATTCTATTGCATTCTTACGTGAACTACCTATACCTGGTGATCCATTGTGGTTTTGTTGTTCTTGATTTTATATTAGGTTATTGAGGCACAAAGATGACCATTTAAGAATCCATTTGCCTTTTTTTTTTTTTCTTAATTGTGCTTTGATGAAATATGATACCTGTCTCTTTCTTTCTCTCTACTACTGAAAATCTCAGAGCTTAATTGTAAGGGTTCTCATTGCTGTGAGGAAAGATCCTGTTGAGTCAGAGGCATGCAGCAGAGCTCCAGCTGAGTGCTTGTAAAAGCACGGTTACTGCAGCTTCAGATTTAGGCTGTTTTGTAAAGTATAACCCACCACTTAAATGTTCTGAGGAATTCCCTGTGTAGCTAATGTGAAGTGGCAGTGTTCCTCAGGCTGTAATTATGTGCTTTCTAATAGAATGACACCTCAGGGAGGAAAAAAACCCCTAAAAATAATGAACGGGATCTTTGGCAGGGCATCTGGATAAGAGAGCAGAACACTTGCTATATATGGGCTTTACGTAAGTGTAAGTTCTGGGGAGGTGGGCATGGTGCAGAGTAGCAGCCCTGGGTCTGGTTGAAAAATCCCTTGGTTTTGAGCTGCTTTGCAATCTTCTATCTATATTATGCAAGCATCTATTGGGCTTGGAGCTGTATAAGCACAAATCAAGATGCTTTGCTTAGAGTCTAAATGCACAAAATTGAGGAAGTGTTAGAGGAGAAATACAAGGAAAACAATTTTCTCAAGGTTATGCTGTATGTCAGTGCCACGGTCAGGCTCAGAAATAGAACATCTTATTCTCATTCTCCATCCACTAGGTTATATTGACAGGCTTGTGAAATCTCTAGAAAAAACCTCCCTAGAAGTATTTGAATTCTTGAGGATATCTCCCTACTTGGAGAGGTCAGTGAACAAATGATTGCTTAATGGAGTAGGAGAGACTTGTGCTCAAAACCTTTTCTATTTGCGTTTTAAGAAAGTGGCATCTGGAGTTAATTCACAGTGAACAGTGTCCCAGAAATGTGATCAAATACTGTGATGAAACAAGGCTAATCCATCATTCACTTTTTGAGGTAGGTTTACATTGTATTTGAGCTGACAGGTCATGTAAGGATGGGAATTTGGCATCTGCAGTTTAAATTACCTATATGAAAATATATACATATCAATTCCACTGGTCACCTACCCCATGATTGTGGGAAACCTTGGGTCTGATAATTTGGTTACTTGGAATTTTTATTATTGTATTCACTAATCATAATTGTCTGGTTTTTGTTTGTCCAGGTTGGCAACATTGTACAAATCACCGAGTCAGAAGGAGTCAACCATACCATATTGCATTACAGTTAGTATTTCTTTTGGGATGGAGATACAGAAATGGGAGCAAATTGTTAGCTGTAAAGGAATTTTCAGACACATAGACAAATCTGAGAATTATGTTTGCTTTCTGATTGTTACCTTATGAAGGTAATCAGTAATAGGGGGACGTCTCCAGGTTTATTAATATCTTGCACCTTTTCTCTTCAGAAAAATGACCCAGTATGTTAGTCCTCTTAAAGGACATTTTGATTTCCCGATCAAATTTACAGGCAGCCTGTTCCCATCTGTTCTTATGCTAGTACTGCTGATTTTATCTGCCCTTGATGTTAGCTTCTGCCCTAAGTGCAATCACAGAGAACAATCATGCACTTTCTGAGGCTTAATTCTGGGAGGTTTGAACAAGCCAAGCTGTTTTCTCCCTTGTCAGGTGGGTTGTTGTTTCCCTAGTGGCTCTTCTCTGCATCTGTTTCAGTTGAGCTTATCTTTTTAGGACAAGGGTGACCAGAATCATACACGGTATTCCAGAGGTCTCACCAGTGCTTTGTGCCATACATATTTCCACGTATCTGCTTTAAGTGCATTGCCTGATATAGCCTAGGTGGTGTTTATCTATTTCATAGCTCCATCCTACCGGTCACCCTATGACCAGCCAATATATATGGATTTTTCTCCTCTGTCACTCTCATATGAGGAGCTTCCAGCTTATGGCTGGAGTCCTTATTCATCCCTAGTTAAATCCTGTGATTATTTTCTTTTGTGGAGTGTTTAGGTACATATTAATGCACACTGTCTAAGCTGTATTTAGGTTTAAAAAAACCCCACCACTCGACTCCTATATTTTCAAATGTCAGATATATAGGTACATGCCATAACTGTTTGCTGTGTGTCCTCATGGAAACACGTTGCCATAGCATTTCCTGCAGATTTTAATGCTGCCATAAGATGAGATCTTCAAACTATTGAACAGAAATCAATTTTTTTTCAAACCTGAATATATTCACCTGGACAGAAGAAATAGTGCAAATATATATATATTCTTAGTTCTGTAAAGACTGGAAGGGTAAGTGGAACTAGATCCCAAGGTTGTTTGGATCATGTGATGTCAGTGTGCAGCCCTTTCTCTCCAGCTGACAAACAGATGGATTTTATCTTAGACAGTTTAATTGCCTTTTCCTTTCCGTTTTATAGGCATTAGAAAACAGCTATGCTTTCTTCTGTGTGTATACAATCTTGAAATACAGTTGAGAGTGTATCCTAATCAAAGATTAGTTAAAACTTAAGATTATCCCTGTGTTTTTTTTCCTCAATCCTGTTGAGCTGCTTCAGCAGATGGTTTCTGTAAGTAAGAAATATATTATCCCTGTTTCTTCATGAAATTCAGGTCTGATGCTAACAGACTGCTGTTATAATTCTCATTGCCATCTCCGTAGCTAAACTAGAAGATGTAAATACATGTTCAGTGTTTCCAAATCTGACCTAGCACATCTATGTAAAAGCGGCATACAAGAAAAAAGATAATGAAAAAAATAATCAATTCCTCAAGCCTAGATCCGCTGAGATGTTTAGGCTTATGCAGATTAGATACTTTGGTACCATTGACAAACTGACTGTTAGTGCCTGTAAACTGATGGAGAAGTGTACCTTAGTGACCGAACTCCAGTTCTTTTTCAGCTGTATCCTCTCCAGCATACTGGCAAGTCAGTCACCACTCCGAGCAAGTGTGGAAGCTGTGCAACACCTACCAAATGAAACAGTTTATTCCACAGGCTGATAGGGATTAATTCTTAAATGCAGAATATAGAAATAAATCAATTTATGCACAAGGGAGTAAGCAGGTCATCTGATTCACCTAAATTTCCCAGGTAATGTGACCTGATTATTTAATCATCAAAGATGGAGACCCAGGACCTGTATTCTGGGTAGGAATCATCAGTATTTCCCTGAACTGCGGAGGGTCTGCCAGACTAGCAGTGAGAATACTACTCAAGTAATAAAGCCGTCTATATTTGTCAATCTTGATGCAGTGTGTAGATGCCAGAAGACATTAAAGAACAATTCAAAATGACTATAGACATCTGAGCTTTGTAGGTCCTTGGTTCCATTAGCCATGTTCTCACCATCTAAAAATCACCACCAAGCTTCACAAACACACACGAAATTCTTGCATTTTTGAGGCACTAAGCCCAGAAGGTACATGCCTTTAACGAAATGCAAAACATCCATACTAAGCAGCCTACTTTATTGAGTTCTGGCCTTTATAACCATTGGAATGCTTTTGCTGGGAGTCTAGCATGCTGGATTAAGTGGATTCTTGGCTACAGATCCACCTTTGTGCCTAAGGGAAATGGCAGAGATTAGATGCAAGCAGCAGTGAAACACTAAACTTGAAGATTCCCCATTACGCTATTTAGAATAACACTTGAGTTGCTTATAATAGCAGAGGGACTGCACAAATTCTGCCCTTGTGGCACCCCTTGCTGTTTGTTCCTTTAAAAACATAGCAGGCTGTGTGAGGTGAAACATTTAGAAATAGAAATGCAGAGATGGGAGACTTAGGCAAAACATTTTGATTGGGTTTTGTTTCGGGTTGATCTTGGTGTGGGACACACTGGCATTTTAGAAAAGTCACATGTCTGATAATAATTCTGCCTGGTTTTTCACACTGCACCAAGCTAGAATGTCAGCTTTCCTGAAATGCTCTCATGCCCACATTCTCTCCACATGAGCATTCAGGATCCCCCAAACAATTTATTTTTCTGATTAACCCCTTTTCCTCTCTAAGTCTGCACTGCGGTGAGAGTTTTTATTGAGCTGTCAGCAGTGCTCCCTGCACAGCATTTGTCTGGAGATGGGAAGACAGATAGTTGCAGGCTTCATGTAACATCTCAGTATCTCCATCTGCATTGGTGACATGTTTAAGTAACTGATTTTCCAGATCTTTCATATTTTAAAGTCTTAAAATCATTAAGTTGTGAGCTAAGGTAACAGAAAATACGAATGGTACTAAGCCAAATAGATCACTTTAAGCTCTCTCCTGAGTAGCAGCATTTAGTTTTCACTTCTACATTTAGTGCTTGGCAGCTGAAGGTTCTCATCCCATTGTGTCCCATAAATTACTATGCTAGGACAGTCTTTGCAGTCTGGAGACTGATTCAGATGTGCTGTTCTCTTACAGTGTCTCATTGATGTTTTCAGTTCATTAAGTAGATACATGAAACAAAAATATCCTAGGTTTTAGAAATTCACAGTTTTGGTTCTGCAAATGACTGAGGCAATTAATCCAGTTGTCTCCTTGCTTCTGTAGGAGTTTGAATGAGGGCTGAAGGATTTGTATTTTAATGTATTTAAATAGGGAACGTAAGTTAATTTACAGAGAGGCAGTGCTTCATAGCCATAGGGGTTACTAGTGGTAAAATGAAAATGATAGCCTGGTTGGTGAAAATATCTTCAAACAATAAAATGAGGAGACACAGTTAACTTCTTGGCATGTGCATTGAAAAGCTTGCAGTTTCTGAGCTTAGCCTGGTCTATAAATGTTGTGTGGCCACTCATCTAAAATAAATGACAGCCTCATACCTTATTCAGCTCTTCTGGGAACTAGTTACTCATGCTTTATATCTATGGAAGTGATAGTACATGATTTTGCTTATATCTTACAGTCTCATGGCTTCCGAGATGTGCAGCCTCCAGCTGTCACTCAAAATGCAGAAGGTACTGAAATGAACCCTCGCAAACGGCCACGTAGAGAAGAGGAAAAGTTATAGCAATTCAGAAGTTGAATGTTAAAAAATGTGTATTACAGGAGAACGGTTACATAGTGAACATGCAACCAGAGGTAGCCTGGGAGACTCTTAACTTAAATTCCTGCTCAACATTATTTTAACATTAAGACTGCTATATGCAAATTTCAGTGGCAGGAAATTCCTTTGTTTGTATGGCATAATTTTATTTTTATAATAAAAATCTATGTTTTCTATAACAAGAGGCTTCAGCTTTTTTTTGGGTGGGATGGAGAATACAACTAATTATTTTATTCTGGGTAATAAAACAAGGAAATGTGAGAATCTAGAACGGTACATTTAATGACACAAGTCTTGATCACTCATCTGGTTGTGTGTGTATCTGAATTTTAACAAGGTTTCATGCAGCAATCTGCTCACATGCCTCAAACCAGGGCAGAAGGCAGTGGAGCTGCTGATGGATGCTTTAAGATAAATACATGCTTAAATGCTGTGCCAGCTTGGGGCATTAGCCCTTACCTGCCGCCAAGTCCTTGATCAAGGACAATCAAAGCACTGCTTTGAACTTCTCATTTGTCTGGTAGCGGCAACAACAGAGATGAAAGACTAGATCTGAAAGACAAAAGATTTAATCCAGCCTGGTAATTTTATGTTCCTATCTTAGTAAGAGAGAGTATTTTACCATCACTCAAGCTTGAACCAAACTGCTGCATAGCCCCTAGCTTCCATGTTCTTCTGTTACCAAAGCATTCAGAATGAAGATTCTGTAATCAGGATCTGTTTTGTTCCTGGCTTTAAGAGAGGAAACCCAGGCTTCTTGGACACCAGCAATATATTAGCAGCTCCAGAATCTAAACCAAATGAAAGAATGAATGTACACTGAAAATACATCAGGGATTTGTCCTCTTTTTATTAAGAGAAAACAAATCAATAAGATCATTAGAGGAGAAAAAGGTACTGCAGTGCAAAATAGTAATTACTTCAATTAGGAGAAGTGTTTGTACACATGCACATATATGACCCTTTTCTGGCGTAGTGCTTGATAATGTTATAGCTGAGGAAACTCAGCCAGCTGGCTAAATGCAGAATTCAGGTTGTGGGAGTCTCTAATTTTTAATTTAGTAACACTAAACTGACTTTCCCTTGAAACAAAATTCAGTGCTGAATCTGAGTCACAAAACCTCTCTATGCAAAAAGCTGCAGAAAAAGTGGCAGTGATTTTTGGATCATTATAGTGTTTAGATATAAATTACATAATAAAATATTTAACGGAAAAGTATTTTATTGCCATGCAGCAAACTGGGCTGTGTCAAAATTTTACAACTGAGTCAGGGAGAAGCTCTCAAGCAAGCATGACATAGAGGAAGAAAGGCAGTGGGATTTGTGACTCAGACAAACATTCCAATGCAGGAGACACAGGCAAACAAAAGGATCCTACCGCATGTGATGTCAGCAAGCAAATGCTCGATTTGGGAATAACAGCTTCCTACGTATTGCAGCGCAAGAGGAGGGGGGAACTAGCACAGTACACATGCCTACGTAGCCACAAGGAAAACCATCCATTAAGAGTGTTGTAGCAATATTTTAAGAAGGCACTGCTGGTTGCTAGTGATAGCTGCTATCTAAAGTGTTTGATATTTATGGAAAAATCCATTTCTCTCTATTTATTGTGTTCTGATTTAACATCCTCAACACGTTCTTCCATGTGCAAGAGAGCAAGGACATGTCTCCAATATACTATTAATTTCAGCTGACTGGTTTTTTTTATTTTGTTTGTAGTAGAGTAGCATCTAGAAGCCCCAGCTGTGATCCTGATCCTGTTAAACCAAGATAAATCATTTTTTCAGAGTAAATGTTAGATCTTCCAGTATTCCAGGCATCATTATCAAAACAAAAAAAATTGCATAGTTACTGGTTAACAGTGGGAGTTACAAAATATCCAGAGGAAACACTGGAGGCTCTCTGTGCTGAGATTTTAATTTTTTTTTTCATATTGAAGCTATTATAAAAATCAGCTCTGCAGACTTGCACTAGAGAGAAGGATCTGTTGGTGGAGACAAAATTAGATTAAATGAGCCAGATTTCGTTTTCATCTGCTAGAGACAGGGAAGCTGTTCCAGGCTTAGAATTCTGTATAAAGACAGAATTTGACCGTTGCCTAACCAATAAATCTTCCGTGGCAAGCTGATATTTTCTTACATGTGCCTGGAATTCTCTTGCATTTCACAGCATCAGTGCACAACAGCGAGTGGCATGAGAGAGTTTTATGACTGCACAAAAAGTAAGATTCTAACTGGCCAACGCCACAGCCCTGAATCAAAAATAAAATAGGTTGTTTGATTTGCTGCTTAAGTCCCAGTTTTCTGAAAGCCAAGAGCTTTAACTATCATGCTGAGTTTAGAATTATTCAATTTACTTGTGGTGTAGGAACCTACTTCGTCACCACAACAAGAATACGGTATCTACCACAGGGCTTGGTAACAGGAAAACATTGTGGTCACAGTATACTTCTTCTCAAGCCCAGAATCCTGCCTTGAAACTCTTTAGTTTGGACAGGGAAAATAACAATTTATTTCTTTCTGGTTTTATGTGTTCTGCACCTTTTCCATTACGAAACACTGAGAAACCAACTAGCTTCTAACTAGAATAAATTTAAGAAAACACTGAGAAGAAGTAGCTTAACTGAAGGTAAGAAGGTTCAAGTTATGCAATCAAACAGTCTTGTATTGGAGTCAGTTACGAGCTGGTTGACTGATGTGGAAGGAGATTCGGCTGCTAACCGGAATGTTGAATACAGTGCTGAGAAACATACATTTTAAATATAACATCTATTTTTCTGTTGAATTTCAGTTTCTGTTCCTTTAGTTATTTTGGGGGGACTAAACTTAGAATGAGATTTATTCTAAGGCATTTCATGGATTAATGACAAAGGTGAAATCCTTTTTGCCTGCCTTTCTAACCCCACCCTTTTTCTGAACAAAAGAAGATAAGTAAATTGGAAGGACAAGTCATTGTGTTCCAGCTTCTCAGAAGAGATGCTTTACCACACTTGGGATTATAATTATTTAGAAAGGCACATTAAGCTGTATTACACTGTTTTAACACATGCTAATTCTATATAAATAGTTGATTAAGTTATGAAGTAGGGTTTGATGCTTTCTTGTCCTAAGACAGAGTACCGTGATGGAAACTGAATAAATAGAGCACTTCCATTGCAGTAACACAAATATTACAGCAGAGTACATAAGGGAAATTACACTTCTTTTTACAGGGTGAGAACCAGGGAAGGTAACCAGTGATTCCCAACCACTTCAAGCCCCACAGCCCTGCTAAGAGTATGCACACAGGAGCCCGGCTGTAGGGGAATGTGAGCCACCGGCTGCCAGAGCTGGCAGTGTCCTAGGGCTACCGAGCAGCCTGCCCAGTCCTCCTCCGCACCAGTCCTCCCGTCAACTCCAGGAACCAGTGCCAGGTGCTACCTGCTCCTGGGCTTCCCCTCTTGCTGGCTCCCCAGGCTGCCTACTCAATGTCTTGTGGCTTCTAGCCATAGAGTCATTTTGGATTATTAGGGTCAGGAGAGTTGGCTTCCCTTGGCTAGTGCAAGATTTCTGCATTAATGTTCTACACAGAAGAATGAAATCACCGGGAACTGGCCCCCTTCCCAGCACTGAATTTCACCCACAAATGCACCCACTGTTAAACTGTAAGCTACTGTCTTGCTTCCTACAGGCAAGACATATTAATACAATATGCAAAATCTATTTATTAGACAGTCTAAGCTCTACGCAGTTTTAACTATATCTATAGAAATAATAAATGGCATTAAAAGCAGTAGCTCAATCACTACACAAGCAGTAAAAATGTTAGATTATATTCTGAAAGGATGCATACAAAACTATGTATTTTACTATGTTATTCTTCAAGAATTATAGCTAATACTGTTCATTTTATTACAAGAATTACTTGTCATTGATTTAAATGGAGCCAGAGAAGCATCAGGATATTAAAAAAAAAATAAATCACATTTCAGTCTCAAACAATGAGAAGGGAGAACATTTAAAATATATCTAGTAATGTATATAGCAAAGTAAAAAGGAAACTACAGACCTCAATAAATTGTTCTAATTGGATCTGGATGCTTTTCTCAAAGCCTTCAAACATGCTGCTTGGATACTTGCTCAGTTTGGTATCTCACATTGCATCAGTTTGGAGTTTTAAATTTATGACACGTATACTTCTAATACTCAAATTTATTTAGTGTGAACCACTGCAATTTTAGCAACACGGTTACAGCTTCACTTAATTAGTGATTCTTTTTGTATTACATATGCTGCTAAAATACAATGTTTTGGACTAAAGGACGTCTCCTTAGCATGAAAATCATGCCTATAAAGTATAGCACATCAATATGAGATTGTAATGTAATTTCTAACTTTTTTTACTATATAAGCTTCCTACACATTTGACTGTAAATGTGATGGAATACATCACAGAAATGTATCTCTTTAAAAGTCATTTATTCATTCATTATTTTGTATAATTATAAAAAATTTCTGTGGCTAAATAATAGAATTTGAGACTGTTCAAATAAGTTAGCATCAGCTGCATACATACTTTAAAGTCTGTGAATCTAACCATTCTATGTCATGTGTACTCTTATAGCACATATATTACAAAAATAATGGCCAGAGTCTGGACACAATGGTAGTTGGTTTCTGGTACTCATGTAAGTGGCTGATTGTTTAAAATTAGGGTTTTTTTAAGTAGGTGACCGTAAAGTTCAAGGACTTGTGACTGGAGCAGGGTATCACCGAATCAGGAATCTAATCTACAGTAAAATGATGAACAAGTCATTTAAAGTAAGTCTGTGGAAGAACCAATATAATTTTTAAATCCCACTAGGCACCTGCCTTGACAAGCCTGGCTTAAACTTTGCTCCATTTTAGGATGAACTTCACCCTCCACCTCAAAAGGGCAGAATATGCACACACCATTAAATACCTAGAACAGAGTAGAAATGGGATTTAAGCAGTACATCATTTGTATTGCCTCCTCTGAGCAAAAGTGAGCTTCAGGTTTAGAAACTCCAGCAGTGCTATATTCACACAGTATAGTACTACAGGACCTCAGCCTCAGACAAAAGTGTTGCAAAAACGGAAAGTACAGAGGAAGGGCCTGGCACAGTAACACTACCAGCAAGCTCTGCTGTCTGCTGATATCCAGGAGGTCTGTGCCCCTAGT